GGTGTCGCAGGATGTCTTGTGAAAGGAGCATCATTACTAGAATGGAGGTGGCTGGAAAAAGGAGGGGCCGTGTTTGGGGTCACTACAGCGTGTCGTGGGGGTGCTTTTGAGAGAAGAGGCTTGTTTGGCAGATGTGCGTCTGATTCGGCATCTGATGACAATCGGAACTCCGTTCCCAATACTGTTGCTCTATCGCTTGCCGTTGACGTTGCTTTTACATCTACTGGCTTTTTCTGTTGATCATGTTGTTTTATTCTCCAAGTCATTCCCCTCGGTCTTCTCTCTGAGCATGTTGTCGCGTGGAAAACTGTTGCATGTCCAATGTTTGTCACTTGTTCGATTTGTGGTATTTCTGAGGGTTCTTCTGCGCTGAGAAGATCTGTCCAAGCCGTTGGTTTTGGATGTGGCGGAGATCTTGTTGAGGTGACCTTTGAAGGTTTGGAGTTGTCCCAAGTGCTTGAGATTGCAGTTTTTGTGGCCGACTTTCACTTTCATTCCTTTTTGGACACAAAGAGTGATGATGTTTTTGGCCCACGCATGCTCTGCATCCTGGGCTCCTACAATCTTTCACAAAGTGCCCTTGACTTGCGCAGTTCAGGCATCTGTTAGACTCTTGGAAAAATTTGCCTTTGTGCAATAGAGTTGAGCTTGTCACATGCCGCCATTCTGTGAGTTGTATCACAGAACAAACATGATGCTGAGATGTCCACCTCTCTGTGAGATATTGTTCTTGTCCTCCTTGTGTAAGTGTTCGTTGCGTTTGCCGTATATGTCATCATCTCACTGATTCGCTCTTCTGTTGATATGCAGTCGTCCAACGCCGTGATGATATCTTTCATGTGCCAGTTTTCTTCCTGCATCTCTGGAGTGACGTACTGCTGTAGCATCTTGCGCTGAATCGAAGCATTGAATTTTGATAGCAGCTTTTGTGCGGCAAAGGATCCATCCAGATAGACTTTGTGAGCTTCCAGTTGCGAAATCAGTGGAATGATTGTTTCTAACAGACGTCGTTGTGCTGTCGTACTAGTATTAGCTGCGTGAGTTTCTTCCAGACGTTGTTGGAGCTTCGCAACAAGGCGAGATTTATCTCCATATTTTCGGCGTAACATCGCAATTGCTTCCTCGTAATTGTCCTCCGTGACCGTAAAGCGGTTTATTAGTTCTCGTGCTTCACCACTTAGAGCGTTTATCATATAGTTGAACTTTTGTAGTTTGGTGAGTGGTTGGTGATCGACGTTTGCTTCTAGTCTCCAAAAAATTTCGAAGTCCCATAGCTCTCCCGTAAACGTTGGCACTGGAATAGGAGGTAACTGACACGTGGGTGCTTCTCCATGTGCCCCCATAGGCGAACTTGTCGGGCGCGTGGGGTCTCCTGCGTGATCACGTGCGCTTATCCTTGCAGACTCCAGCTGTATCGTTAATTTCTGGGCTTGATCGATAGTTGTTTGCGCCTTGTCAATGTATTCCTGAACTTGTTGTTCCTGTTCTTCTGTAACTGACTCCATTACGCTGTCAACAACGTTGGCAAATTTTTCCAGGCTTTGCGATACAAGATTAATGTTTGCCTTCAGCTCCATTACCTTTCTTTGAACCTCTTGCAATTGTTGCATGTTCCAGACTTTGAGTTCCTCCGTTTTCAGCGCCTTTTCACTTTCCTCAGTCAGGCGCTGTAGGTTGTTACAGTATCTTGTCAGAAGGGCTTTTGCTACCTTTAATGATGTGGGTCCCGCCATTGTTGTCTGTGCTTTGAAATCCGTGATAATCTGATGTCACTTCTATCGACGTAGAATATTGCAAGGCAATCTTCAGTCAAGCAGTCAAGCAAATCGATGCGATAACTCACTAACTTTCTGCGACCAAGATCCGTATAGCCGATGCACCATAAAAAGGTTGCCACAACCTTGCCAATAGAACCACACCAACCACCACACAAACGTCACACGTTTATTGTCGATTACCTCAAACTTGGGTAATTAAACCCTCATTCTGCTTAAAATATACACACACATAAACAACGAAGCATCAACATGAAAAAGTGGCGAAATCGCTAACAAATAGTTGGAAATATGATGACGATAAGTCAAGCCAAAACGATATCTTGGATATCTGGTGAATTTGGACTACTTGTGAGAAATGCACAAGAGGAGATTAGAAAGCATACATTATGAGTTTTAAATGTGCAATCCTACGTACAAGGAATGAGCGGATAGTAAGACAACACATTCAATGAATGTAAGTGATGGAAAATGCATGAGTAATAATGACTAAGCATATATAGGCCTTCGCTTGCTGGCTCCATCGTTCCTTCCGCAGCTGCAGTCGTTTTTATCTGTAGATCGAGGTCTTTTTGTCGAAGGGAATGTCGCATCTGGCATCGTGGATTCATTCCTTGGCATTCCGCAATTAGCTTTTTTATTTAGCAAGCATTGCGATCCGTGAACGTCTCAGCTGATATTGAGGGATCATCGTATGCTCTCATGCATTATTCTGCTCAATTGCATCGCGATCCGCGATACCTCAGCTGTGAATGAACAATTTGCGCTGCCTCTTGGGCAGTGCCTTAGTTAAGACCCCCTCATCAATTTTCAGGCGGAAAACCCATGCGACCAGGTTTGCCTGGACACTGCCTTCAAAGCCATCCTGAGGATGGAAGAACATTTACTTGGAAATAATGATTAGAAAGTGGCAAAGGCAGGATTGCTTCACAGGTGCCCGATTGTCATTCTCGCGCCGTGCCTTGCTTCAAGAGCTCTTTCGAACGATATCTGAAAAGTAGGCGAAGGATCATACTACGAAAGACTGCATCGGCAACTCTTTATGGCCGGCTAAGAAGTGCTAAGGAGAAGATTAGAACTAACAAGGAAGGTCCGACTAGTCGCAGTGGCCTTTTTGAATGAATCACACACTGCTCTGAAGAGCGTTAAACGCTGATTCAGAATCTGATTTCAATATCTGCCGAGCGCCTCTATGAGCCGAGTTATGAATGTTTTTTGAAGCGAAAAATGAGCGCGAAATTCAAGTAAAATCAACTTTTACGGATTTTTAGTGCTTAAATATTGGACAGAAGGTGCTCTTTAAATAGAGTGCTTTGATAATCAAAATTGGAATATTTGAGCAATTTTGACGAATTTTGTCCCAATAACGCATTTAATATTGCAACCCAAAAGTGCTCATAACTCGGCGTATAGAGGCGCTCGGCAGATAATAAAGACAGATTCGGCATCAGCGTTTAAAGCTCTTCAAAATGTATGATTCGTTTGGAAAAGCCACTTCGACTAATCGGACCCCCCTTGTAAGAAAAAAACGTATAAAAATGGATTCGGTCAAGAAAGTTTACGTCATTGGAAGGGGCTCTTCGAGAGCTGAGCGATGCACAAAAAGCCCTACATTCTCACTGTTTTGCAGAAATTATGTGATTCTGAAGCAAGAAAAAACTTCCAAAAAGCGGACTTGCTTGAAATATTTTACAGATTCTATAGTATTTGATTATACTAGTCCAAGCCGACTATACGGTCTGCATCATGCAAAAGAGGATTGAGGCTGCACAGAACTCTAGCTCAATTATGGAGGCCAGCAATAGACTTGCCAAAGTCGTGGACGTCCCTATTCTGAACTAAACTCGCAAAAACCATAGCTGATACATAAATCTATCTTTTATATAAAGCTGAATGTCTGTTTGTATGTATGTCTGTATGTATGTCTGTATAGTATACTTTGGACCGAATCGAATAAATATTCGAGTATTCGAATAAAGTATTCGAATAAAATTTATTCGAAATTCGATTATTCGAAAAATTTAAAATCTCGAATGTATTCGATATTCGCTTATTCGAAAATTGTCATTTTCGAATTTATTCGATTATTCGGTTATTCGAAAATTTTGTTTTTCGAATATATTCGAACATTCGAATATTTAATTTCGGAAGTTATTCGATTATTCGACATTTTCATGTAATCGAATAACTATATGCTCTATTTGCTGGTGTCCTCTTGTGTCTTTCCCCCTTCCAATTGTGTTTTCTCGCATTTACACGCCATTCCTAAGTCGGTCTCGCCACGACCACCCTGTTTCCGCGTGAATGACTGTAGGTTGAATGTGATTGCGTAATCTGCGCTGTTGCCAACTCGCTATGTCTGTGATTTGCTGGAGTTCTCCACGTTTTCGACCGTTTGCAGGTTTTCTCTCTATTTTCATTTTGTTCTTAGTCCTCTATCCCTCTTCCTCTGACAGCAGGAGTTTTGAAGAGCGGGTTGGAGGAAGAACGCAATATGCGGCCATTCCGTGCGATCGGTTTGACGGTAGTTTGTGAGCCAATCCATTCTGTGATCATTATTTTCGCCCACAAATCAAATGTTCCCTATATTCTCTGCACATTTTCACAACCCCAGTCCTTCGGAAGGCATGATGACACTTGTCAAGAAGCGGAGATTGAGAATGTTTACTGAGGAGTTCTGTTTTGAGGGCGTTTTCAGCTTTTTTCCTTTCTCCACTAAAGCGTAGCCGTTCTTTCTCCAACCCGCTCTTACCCTTTTGTTGATAAGAGCTTTGAACATGGAGCGGGTTGAAGAATGAACCCTTTTTGCTTCATATACCACTCGGAAACTGTCGAGTCGTTGTTTGTACGGACCGGCCGTAAATTACGTAACACGCGCCCGCGGCCAATCGCTTGTACTGATACAAGTCGCTATTGCACATATTGTGCTCTCATGACATCACAGCCGGCACAGGTAAAACTGTTTATCCTATTGTATTCTTATCTTTTTATTACTTTTCTATCATTTAATTTATTCTGCAAGGGTGCACATCTGACACCACTTGACCCAAAAGTCAGTACAATGTCAGCGTTGTGTTAGCGTCGTGCTGGCACAATGCTGTCCGGGGTTTTGAAGGGTACTTCGGTCAGAGCGTATTTTACGTGGCTTGCGCCGTCTTCTATGCCTATTTTGTCCCTACTACATCACATCTGCTTTAGGGCTTTGGTGAGCGTAGCAGAGGTCTGATGGAGCCTGATTGTTCCGAGGAAATTGAAATGTTAGCTTTTTATCATTTTACCTTACTTATTCTAATTGTTTCATTGTGTTTAGGGGTGACCTTCACGATGATGACGACTCGTCTGCTATAGCGACCACCTCAAATGAACACAGGTACAAACATTTTAGCTACCGGATAGTAGTAGGCTATGCTGTTCTGAATTTCAACGTTTGCATTTGCAGATCTGTAGATGCCGTTCCGCGACCACATAGGCGAACCACTCCGGTGAGTACTTTTATCCTTTCTAATAATCTTATTGAATGTAGTGGGCATCTGCTCGCACGCGGCTTCAAGAAACCAATGCAGCCGCATTGCCGTGCTGTGCTCACATTGCGCTGCAATGTAAGAACAGCACAATGTGTAGATGACTGCTGAAGCATACAGATAAGTAAAAAGAACTCGAAAAGTGCCGGTTTTTTGCTCTGAATGATTGGCCACTTTCAATTTTGTTTCACATTGCGATTTTGTCAAATTGAGCCAGACAGATACAGTAATATTGTCGTAGAGTTATTCTGTCTCCTGCAAACGCGCATACTCTACAACCACACGAGTTCATATAACGTTGTTCATTGGGCGCAAATTCTGAAATTTAATACTTCTACAGAAACTTTGTCCATTTTACTTCTCTAAACATTAAAAGCGTTCAGTGAAAGTTTTTATGTATGGAAACGCGACATCCAAGACATCACGGCAGTTGGTTAGTTAGTGAACTCGCACGGTTGCACTGCGTATTTCTGAGCTGTTGGACGCAAGCTTTTGTAATGACTTTTTTCCTTGCATCTTTTCATAGATGAACTACTGTACCAGTGGTTTTGCTGACTGCGTTTTTGATTGCTGACTCAATTGAAACGGAGTTACTTTCTTTTCTTTTGGTACTATGATTCTGGTAACTGGGACAAGAGTTTCACCGTACTTCGCTTGCTCGCAACGACGGATCTGCGCGGTTGATTCGCTTATAACTTGGTTACTAGAGTTGTAGATTTTGCAAGTTCTGAACAAAAATGAAAGAAGAGTGGTTATATGTCACCATAAATATCTCAAGTATAAACTCAACAAGATAATTTTCAGATGAGCTCAGTCTGGAACTTCTTTAAGAAAGCAGTTAATGTGGAATGCAACGCAGAAACTGCTGTTTGCAATTCCTGCGGTAAATCACTTTTCATCCCAAAAACGAGGACAACATCAAACCTACTGCATCACCTTAGAAGCAAACACAAGGCGGAAGTGGAGAAGTTTGAGCAACGAGCGAGTCTGAATAAAAACGAACGCGAGAAACAACCTAAAATTGAGGACGTGTTTAAAAGGAAAATTGGCAAAGCTGCAAAAGAGGATATCGATCGAAAGCTGATAGTTTTTCTTGCAAAAGCATCTCTTCCGCTACACGTCACTCAGTTGCCATCCTTCGCGGAGCTTTTGCGATCACTTCACCCATCCTATGCCACGCCAAGCACAAAAACATTGTTAAAGCTGATGCAAAAAGAAGTTGATGCCATTGATGACGACAACAGAAGAGTGTTTTCTGAGGATGCACAGATTGCAATCACAGTCGATGAATGGTGGTCAAAAAATGCATCATGTTCATTGCTTGCGATTACCGGTCATGCCCTGGGAGGGGACTTTTCGGAAAGAATCAACGTGGTGTTGGACTGTGCTCCGCTTGAGGAGGATAGGTATACTATCTTTGGGCGGTTTAGGATTCGCGATTACTTGTTATGTTCAGCCACACGAGCGAGCTGGTAGAATCGAAAATATTGGAAAGCTTGTCTAGACTCGGAATTGCCAAAGAGCGAGTGTCATTCATGATTGCTGATGGAGCATCGGTTATGGTGAAAACAGCATCCGACCTAGGCATACAATAGTAAGCGGCGCCCTGCTTCCCTTTCTCATCTTTAACCTCCCATGATTCAGCATCCACTGTTGTGCTCACGTCATTAATTTATCCGTGGCGGCTGCCCTTAATCTTCCAATGTGCGCGCATGTTCTGAAGAAAGTGAAGCACGTGGTGTCCAAGCTAAATAAGAACGGAAAGTTGAAGAAAATGTTTAGACGGTAGTTTCTCTGAATATTCCTCGTTGTCTTCAGAGCATTTCCCCTCAGGTTTCTGAACGAAGAAAACCTCCCGAATGTTGTGCCAATGAATGATGCTCCAACTAGATGGTCCAGTACATACTTCATGCTATGTGACTTCCTAGCCGCAGTCAGCGAATGTTGGTAGCATTGCTTCCTCCAGCCAGTTGATTTTTTTTTGAAGATGCCGGCAGTTGAAAGATTGCTGTCAACTTGTGACATGCTGCCGTTTGAGGATGGGGAAATACGGATACTAAAGGCAATGAGAGTATTCTTACAGCCGTTTCAGGCTATGACTAACCAGGTAGCAACAAAGCGTTTTCTTTTTGAGATCAGTCTAATTTCTGCAATGTAGGTGTGCTATCAAACGTCTTGCTGTTCAATGTTCATTCCAGTAGGAAAACTCTTGATCGCGAAGACTGAAGAGTGGGTCATCATTTTCTCGTGTTCCATCGGGTAACAACCATGGCACTTCAGGAATCTAGCAGCTGCTCGAAGGGAAGGACTACAGTTTGGCGAGAAATTGTTGGGTAGCACAAAGGAATACTTCGCAAAATTTTTCATCAGTCAGCCACTGCGTTTTGCCGCGTTATGCGACCCTAGATTTGCGTTTTTGGATACCGTATTGAACAGGGATGAATGGCGAGAAACTGCTGACCACTTCTTGGCGTGTAAAAGTGAGTTGCAAACACTACACTTGCAACTTTATGAAAAATGCCTAGGTTTAGGCAATACTCTTGACTCAGCGGACTCCGATGACAAAAGTTATGAAAGATCTTCTATCCCCAAAAGATCGGATATGTGGTCTTTGATCACAGCACAAAGTACTACCAGCACCCCCTCAAGAAGCTCACAGATGCCACAGGAAGATCTTCAGGTACTGAGATACTGCTCAATATCACTCTAATACTTGAAGTTTAGATGGAGTTGCAGCAGTACACTATACATCTGAACCGAGGAGACGCACGACCAAGTCCTGATGCAGACCCAGTTCAGTGGTGGCGCTCTCACAAAACTCAGTTCCCCCTATTGGCATCATCAGCAGCTGAATACCTCGTCGCGCCTTGTACATCCGTAGACAGCGAAAGGCTGTTTAGGTACTTTAGGTTTTGATGTTTTATGTACATTCAATGATAATGAGTTCTAGCACTGCTGGCGTTATCTATGGCAATAAAAGGAGAGGGCGACTCACAGCAAAACACGCAAGGCTTTTTTTGATGATCAACGCTAATTCGAATAAGGAAACCAGTAGGTGAGATAGTTTCTTCAACTTATAAAATGTGTTGAACTTGTAAAAATTGAACTATTTAGGTCATGCAAAGCTTGGACACAAAAGGAAGTCCTTCGTTATGGATGCAACTAGAGTCGAATGCAGCTCATAGTACATCGGAGGAATCATACTCTGATGACTCGGAAGAACTGGAGGAAGAGGACCCATATGTTTTTGATACGCAATAATTGTTTCTTTGTTGTTTGATTCTGTTTGCCCAAGTTGCCAGTAAGTAAAATTTGTGAAGTTCTTTACATGGAATTTATTGGAGTGAATCTTCGTGAAGGAACTACTCAGTAAGGGCATCCAAAAGTACGCGAGTTTATCATTAAGTTTTGAGAGCTTGAACCTGTCTGTCTTTCACTCTTGGAGAACTCCTTTTCGAGTTTGAAAGAAGGTCCTAGTATGTAAACGTCCAGAAAAGAACAACATTGTTTGGACTCGACTTCGAAGCTAAAGTTCGTGCACAAGTTTGAGTGGGCATGCTGCTGAGAAATTGGGTGTTGGAAAAAGATAGTACTAACTATACCAACAATCGCGCTCTTAATTTTGATGTTTTTGCAGCCTTTGATCGAAACTAGGTGTTGAAAGTAGGTGTGAATGAGCCCCTTGTCTTTAATGGTTTGCGCACTTAAGAGTGGAGGCAGAAGACCGGTGTTCACAGTGGATTAGATTGTTGACTTCTATAGTCTTATGAGGAAGTAGACCGAGCAGACCCGGATCTGTCAACAGTTCAGAAATATGCATTACATTTTGAATATAAAGTGCGGTTCATAATTATACGAACACCCAAGATTTTGTAAGTTTTTGGACTTTTTGAGAAAAACTCAAAAAGAAGTTGGTACCACGCGAAAGAGCACAGCCGAAAACGGTATATGATCCATAAGAATGGAAATTGATGTCAATCTTAAAAGTGTTTTTGCGCCTAATGCAAATTTTTACCGGTTCATAATTATACGAACACCTCAAACAAAGGTCCATTTTTCATTCAAAATTGCAATCATTTGAGTCTAAATTTTTTGTAGAGTTACAGTAACAAAGTCTGACATATCTGCTACACACTGAAGCCAGAGTTCAAAAAGAGGACCGTTACTTTTTTCAGAGGGCTCTAAATGCTTTTGGTGTGATTGCGCTTCAAAAACACCCGTTCTTCTGTGGTTTACGCGCTCTGATTAGCTTCTACCAAAGCTATGAGATAAAACAAGCTCTTTTGATAGGTATTTTGTTTGACGCTTGGAAAATCTTTGCGTTTTCGTGCCGTTTTTCAACCAAGTTCCAACCTTACCACGGACTTAGCACGATTTTGAGCCTCAAAACTCAGCTTCTCTCTTGCGCAAACATTTGATATGAAGCCGCTGCATTGTTTGCGTGATGATGTTTCTGTGCCAAAGTTTTTGGGTTTTTTGTAGAACTGATCTTGAGGCTATGGAGCTAAAAACCAAATAAAGGTGTGATTGCAATAGTAAAAACAATGTTTTTGGTGAAATGACGTCTGCGTTGCCAAAACAAACGCTCAGCGCTGCTGATTTTTTCTAACCAAATATACAGTCTTGTGAACTTTTACATACTATGTGCTTACTTCATTGTACGGCTTCAGAAGCTGAGTTTTGAGGCTTAAAATCGTGCTAACTCTGTGGTAAGGTTGGAACTTGGTTGAAAAACGGCACGAAAACGCAAAGATTTTCCAAGCGTTAAATCTCATAGCTTTGGTAGAAGCTAATTAGAGCGCTTGAACCACAGAAGAACGGATGTTTTTGGAGCGCAATCATTCCAAAAGCATTTAGAGCCTTCTGAAAAAAGTAACGGTCCTCTTTTTGAACTGCACTGGGTTCAGTGTGTAGCAGATATGTAAGACTTTGTTACCGTAACTCTACAAAAAATTTGGACTCAAATAATTGCAATCTTGAATGAAAAATGGACCTTTGTTTGAGGTGTTCGTATAATTATGAACCGCTAAAAATTTGCATCAAGCGCAAAAACACTTTTAAGATTGACATCCATTTCCATTCTTACGGATCATATACCGTTTTCGGCTCTGCTCTTTCGCGTGGTACCAATGGCTTTTTGAGTTTCTGTGAAAAAGTCCGAAAACTTTTAAATTTTGAGGTGTTCGTATATTTATGAACCGCACTTTATCAGCTTGCTTGTTTGTTGAGTTGTATACTACTGAGAGTCTTTTTTTGTACTATTCGACTAGATTTGTTTGAATATTCGACATAGTTTATACAAAGTATTCGTTTATTCGAGACTTTTTTTTCGAATATATTCGAATATTCGAAATTTTTCCATTCCGAATTTATTCGATATTCGATTATTCGACATTTTTTCATCTCGAAAATATTCGATATTCGATTATTCGACATTTTTGATTTTGAAAAATATTCGATATTCGAATATTTGACATTTTTTATTTTCGAAAATATTCGAAATTCGTTTATTCGATATTTCTGATTTTCGAATATATTCGATTATTCGATTATTCGAGAAAAATTTCGAATATTCCAAAGTATACTGTATAGGCAGTACGAGCCAGCATCGGTCCCGCGCCAGTATGATTTGCGACGACGCACCGTCGCGGGACGTGTCTTAACGCGTAGCAGAGCTCGCACGCGTCACACCGCACTGTCGCAAGTTGCCGCAGGCGCGACGTCGCATGACCGATGCTGGCTGGTACAGCCTATATGTACGTATGTTCCGAATAGAAAATTCCATTTCTGAACCGATCTGGACCAAACTTGGCACACATACACTTCGGGCCCGGCGGGTGTCATAGGCTACTTTTTGTCATCGATCGATATTGATTTTATCAATTTTTTTGCAAAATTTGAGCTACAGGGCTGGGAGATGGCACAGGGGCGTAATCGAGCATGCTGATCACCCTCGTGGGGGTGATCAGCACGCTCGATTACACCCCTCTGCCAAATTCCAGCCCCCTAGCTCAAATTTTGCAAAAAATCGATAAAATCGACATCGATCGATAACGAAAAGTGGACTGTGACACCCAACGGGGCCCGAAGTGTATGTGTGCCAAGTTTGGTCCGGATCGGTTAAGAAATGGAATTTTCTATTCGGAACATACGGCGGAGCCGGGTAAGCCAGCTAGTATATATATAAAACTCAAAAATTGTCAGTTTGGAGGGTATGTGCGCTATAGAAACGTGCGCCGCTCAACCGATTTAGCTGAAACTTTGCACACATGTGTTTTCGACCCCTGCGCAGCTGATAGGCTACTTTTCGCGGTGACTCAGTGGGTCCTTCTATCGATTTATTAATTTGTTTACTTACATCTAGGAAAAAGAAAGCATATCAATCATTTTTCCAAGTTAAGTGGGTAAAGGGCGGTAGAGATCATTTACATTTTGCTGCGAAAGGGATGGTCCACGAAGCAAAGCGGTCAAAAAACAGTTAATTCCACCATGGGTACAATGGGTCGAAGCTGAAACAGGGAAGGAAGACAGCATGCAAATCAAGGTAAAGGAGGAATGGTAAGCAAAGACGTTTCGGAAAAATACTTTGCCGGGCCACTTTGAGCCCTCGGTCCGGGAGGGACCAGGGACGCCAGCTAGTATCAACTAATACATGAACCGAAGTGGACAGAGTGCGCTTCTTGGTCGTTGAATTCTACTATTCGACAAAAGCATTTTTTCTTCACGATTTACGTCAAATTTTGTGACAAGCATGAGTAAGCAAAATCTTCATTTGCTGTTTGGCAAAACTTGAATGCAAAGGACTTTGTCTTCAATTTGTCGTCGTCGTTCCTTAGATCAAGTGAAGTGTTGCCATTAGAACTCGCAGGATGCCTTGTACTCGTTACCACATCACTAGCTTCTTTCGCTGCTTTCTTCATAGCCATCTGTGATCAGTTGTAGAATGTTTAGGATGACATTAACTGACGATTTGTAAACTCACGAGCAGGAAAACACTGCAGGGCCTCATCCACCTTCATCAAGACTTGCGCTAGTGTTATGCAAGTTTCTTCGGTCCCATTCCTTTCCAACTTGTGAGCGGCTCTAGCAAGCGAATCGAGTTTCTGAAGCAACACTAAAAACTACTATTATTTGATTTTCAAAAGATAAGATAGCTCCTACTCTGTCTATCTCACACACAAGTTCCCGACATTCTGAAGGGAACATTGTCTGCGTCTCCGACTTCACATGGGAAAAGACAAGATTTGATCTTGGACTGAAATCCAGCATCGTGACAATGGATGGAGTCATATTTTCATCGGGCATAACCTTCACAATGGAATTAGCAGCTGAATTCAAATGTTAGAGAAACGCCAAGATGGGATAAACAACACACAAGTACATTTTCCGTTGCTCTCTTCCTTTTTGTTTTTGCTTCCTTCGTTCATTTTCTCCCGATCCTTACATATCCTAACGGTATGTTCGACCGAGAATGTAGGACGAGGAATAAAAAATGTGCACTGCGACCAATTCCCATTTTCACTGATAACTGCAGAGTTGACTGGCACCGACTTAGCCTGTGGTTGATGGCCCAAATGAGATGTGCAATACTCGACTTGAATGGTTTTCTTTTGGAGATCCTTTCTCACCTGAATATTCATCGTTAAAGAGTGAAAATTACCTGAAGGAGTGCATGTAAATCAATCTTACGTTTAAAAACGCAGTGCAAGATTTGTTGGCAGCTTTACTGCGTGGGCTACGTAATCCTTTAGATCTTGTCCTTTTATCGCTAGTCCTGAATAATAATCTATCGAACAATGGAATGAGGTAGTAACTAAAGGAATGATAGGCTAACAAACTGATAAAACAAAGAACTGTGTTCTCTGCCATTTCGGACCAGAACTATCATACAGGGAGTCTCAAAAAATGCGCCCACTGTTTGATTGTTAATAACTCTCTTGTAATGCAGTCTTTCGAGAAGCTTTAGGTACCGTTCTGTAGAGCTAGCTTCAACTTAGATTACAGCGTAAAACGAATCACCCCTCTCTCTTCATTACTGTGGGATTACGGTAAAAACTTCAAAGAGATTTTTGAGCCATTAAAAACCATAATTTGCCTCAGGAAGGAAACAAAACAGCCTAAATCTTTCACACTGGGCTAATTAGAGTTGCTGATTTTGAGTGTGAAGTTCGAAACTTATGATGCTTCATCAAAACGTTATGCGAGGTAAGCAGCAGCGACCGTTTTTCCAATGTTCCTAGAAAGTGCGGTAACACCATTTAGAAAGCTTCGCATTCTTGTACATAATTACCATTGAACCCAGCGTCCACTACTCAAAAGTTTGAAACGGCAGCTTTTTTTGCAATGACACCATATACTTGAAGTTTCTACAGTAATTCTACCCTAATGAAGAGTAATCGGAGATTTACTCTAAACTGTAAATCTAAGTTGAAGCCAGCTCTACAAAACGGTACTCAAAGTTTCTTGAAAAACTTTATGACAAGAGAGTTTTAACCCATGTGGACCACCGGTGGCCCATGCACTTTTTGCTGCCAGGGACGATGTGGACCACTGTGGACCACTCACACCTCCTTGCGGCGCTATTCCACATTAGTTGACCCAAAAAATGAAAATCGTGTATTTTGCTAAAACTTCGTCTAGGAAGGTTATTTGGTTCGCCGAACACGAATATGATGTTTATTTCGTGCGACAGCGCCATCCGATAGAGTTACGGTAAGATTAGATAGGGGGGTCAAAATCACGGACTTGCCCGAAATTTGACTCAGAGGGGTTATTCGGCCCGCTGATGCTGAATATCACATCGATTTTTTACCGTAGCGTCATTTTCTCGGGTTACGGTGGGTATACTGTAGGGGGTCAAAATCTCAAGATCCGCTGTTCCCACAGGGGGGTTATTCGACATGCTGATTGAAAATGTCACACTTCCGCCGCACGAAAACGTCTCCCTACATGATCATGGTAGGTTTACGGTAAGGGGCAAAATCACAAATCGGCTGTTTCAGGCAGGAACTATGTTTCACACCCCCGTTACCGTGTAGCTAGCGTAACCCGAGAAAATGACGCTACGGTTCAAAACCAATGTGCTATTTGGCATCAGCGGGCCGATTAACCCCTCTGGGCCAAGTTTCCAATGCGTGATTTTGACCCTGTACCGTAGACCTACCGTAACTCCATCGGATGGCGCTGTCGCACGAAATAAACATCATATTCGTGTTGAGCATACCAAAACCCCACTAGACGAAGTTTTAGCGAGATTCACGATTTTCAATTTCTGGGTCAACTAATGTGGAATAGCACCGATTAGTATCCCTCTTGCGATGTCATATTATTTGTAGGGTCAACTAATGTGGATTTAGTATTTTTTCCATAAATCAATACTTTATCAAACTTTTGCACTCCTGGGACCTGTGCGCTTCTTCGCTCAAGAAAATGTTTTCAGTTGTATATGGAACAACCTGGCATTCTGTAAATAACCGCAGAACCTTACCACACCGAAAGTGTTGTGCAAAATCGCGTCGTCCCTCAGCGCCGCCACGTAGATTTAGGCGTCGTCTTCAATGGATTAACAATCAAACAGTAGGCACGTTCTTTTGGGACATCATGTATTTTGCCGTCTCAAAAAAAAACCAAGATTATGAATTGAAGGTAACGATGGATGTGCAAAAGCAAAACAGGTTGAGCAGCAAGCTTCCCCAAACTCATTCTTTTTCCACTCTTGTGCCCCCCCCCCATGCCACTCAAAGACGATCCATTCACAGCCGATGTGCTGACCAATCAGAGGTGCGTCGCTGTAGCGTGCGGTTCGAAAAAACTTTTTCAAAGCAGCGTGCGGACAAATCTTCCTTTCCAATTCTTGCTACTTTCGTAAACTCAGATACGTTAGCGCAAAAAAGACTAGAATTAAAACGTTTTCGCATCTCTAAGAAAAAGCTCGGACGAAACTCTGATCAACTAAGAATTATCATTCTCTCATCAAACTCTCCTTAGTGTCAGATTGTGAAGACCAACAAGTGCTGCTAATGCAGAGCAGGCATACCTTAGAGTTGAGTTCTTCGCAAGGAGGCTGCATTGGGGAGAATTGCCGGCTTTTACAACCATGCAAGAATTCTTGAAACCAAACAATTTCAGCATCTTCTGCTGAGTGGGCGGAATTTGCCACAAGGAGGCGGAGTTGTCCTCCCACCTGTATATCCATAATTCACGCATACCTAGGTGCATGCATATATACATGCAACCAGGCGCTGAAGTGCACGGAAACATCTCGTCTACAGAGGCAGGGGAGAACTGGGGAATTGGGAAGAATAATTCAGAAGACGACGCACTTCACGGGATAGTGAAGACTAAATATTCTTGAATGAATCACTAATAGAAGTGACTTCATCCCTTTTTTTTTTACTAAGAACACACCATCAAAACGACACGAAAGATGAACTCAGATGACAGAGAGCGGCTTGGGCAGCATTCGGACCTCTGAGAGAGGCTACAGACAAATTCGCGGACCCAGACCTACGCGCTCATCTTCTCAATGCTACAATTCTCCCAGCTTTTGTGTTAAGCATCCCAAGATCTGAACTGACACCTCAGTAACTAGACATTGGAACGCACATAGAGCACTCGAGAGCCTTCTGGGGATAACTATGCTCACACAGTATCGAACTTGGGATCCGTAGCTCCAACCTAAGATAACTTTCGCGTCTACAAAAACGAGCAGAATACGTAAACTAACATAGATGTCGTCTAATGAGAAGAGAAGACATGAATGGACAAAAAGGACACCAAATATAGATTTTGAAAACTTCAAAACCTCCACACGGGGGACTACCAAAGAGATGGTGTGACGATGAACTTTAATTCAAACCCTCCTACAATCGCAACCGCGTACCAAGAAGTTCATGGAAGATTGCGGAACAGAAAGGAACGGTCAAAAACTGGGGCGCGCGCGACAAGCGAGGACGATTAAGTGATCTGATTCAAAATGTAAGGAGTCTTTTCATTTTCTCTCCGCAAGGGGATCTACCTACGCGCATGATGGCACTACTGTACCCTCAAAGGCACCGTTCACCCAGAATGCAGTGATCAGATTTTGATGCTGTATAATAGCAGAGTCCCAAAGCAACCGCTCACGTTCCGCTGCAAAAGGTGAATTTCAAAGGAGAAGATCTTTCAAAGAAGTGGGAATGACCACGCTGGCTCCTCCCACGGACATGAATAGTCTGGAAAACAAGTCCGGAACTGGCTTCAAAAGCAATGGAAAGTCACGAATTTGATGGATATAATGGAGAAAAATGACGATTCTAGATATATTACGGCTCAAATTTGAACTTGTTATCTATGAACCACCCACTTCAAAGAAGCCAGAAGCTGCTTCAACCTTCTAGAGAGATGTCCTCCTACTGTAATTATCTTTTGCAACGAGACTTGCGCGACTGCTTAGGCCCTGGCCAGACTTCGCTCAAAAGCGCTCAAAAGCGCTCAAAAGCGCCCAAAAGCGCCCAAACTTCTCTAGCCTCTCCTCACTCTCTCTCTCTCTCATATCTCCTCACACGAAAAAGTGAAGAGACACCAGAGAAATTTGGGCGCTTTTGGGCGCTTTTGAGCGAAGTCTGGCAAGGGCCTTAGGGACCCCAAAATCTTGTCCTCACCCTCGGTTGGGTGGACGGTGCATTCAGCGATTATTTGATCACAGACTCACAGGTGACATTTGTAGTAGAAATATCCAACTTTCTTCTGAATTCTTGTAGTTCCTCTCCTACTATAGAAAGTGCAAGTATTTTCTTCCGTGTCTTTTCTCCAAACCTAAATATCTCGAGTTGAAAAGCTTGTACATAACGCCGTAACTAACATACATCAAACGCTTCCGAGCTGCCAAAATTCATTTCTTCAATTTGGCCCTTGAACTGATGCACTTCCACTGCATGCGCAATCAGGCATTTTTGGTCGTACACCATCAAGCCGCATACAGGGCACTCCTCACTGTATCGTCGTTCCTGTGCGCGACTATGTTGCATACGCTTGCAGTGCTTACTCAGTGCTCTGGCATTGGGTCCTCTATAGTTACAACCCTGTTCCACACATTTGTACATGCTGTGCCGTAACTCGCGTATAGCATCAGCGCTTGTATCTGACCTTAAGAAATTAGTTATCAGAAAGCTCAGAGTAGTCAATTGACAAGCAAAGGATACTTTGTCGAAGTGGCGTTCCTTTATGAAATGTTTATTATCTTACACAGCTGGAACGCTGAATCCAAATCTGCTTTTAATATCTGCAAAGCGCTCCTGGGAGCGAGATCGTGGGAATTTTTAAGGTGAAAGTTCAAGAGTTTGGCTAAGGTAAAAACAGATGTTAACACGTTGACGACCGCGCCATTTTGGGCGAAACTCCCACTAACGTCCTTCGCGCATTTGGCCCGTGCATACGCGCGGATGCACGAAAACATTATGTGGGAGTCTTTTTGACACTTATTAATAAAACATGCAAACTTTGTTCAGACATACAGGTATATTACAGAGCCTTACCAGGACTCACACAAATCAAGGTTTTTGCATCGATTTTCCCTCCAAAAATCCATGCAATGGCTATATCTGAGGAATCGCTCTTCGAGAAAAGCGTTGTAAAACCAGATGTTTCTTGCCTGATTCATCTTTGTTTGATTTCAGAACAGCTATACAGAGTTTTCACCTTCTCGAGAAAACGTAATTAGCATGTATTGACTACATCAAAAACGTACTGATTACCCAATTTTGCGGCCAAAACTTCTGAACAGCTGCCGCGAAGCCCTGTGTTCTGTAAGACAATCAGGCCACTAATAGTATTACTGCATAGAAGTTACCTTTAAACTTTTCGCTTCCACCTAAAAAACTAGGATGCATATGCGCGGATGCACGAAAATGCTAAACGGGAGTCAGGGCGTGCATACGTGCGGATACACAAGGTCGTCAACGTGTTAAGGTCTTTCCGACGTATGGGTAATGACAGGCGTAATTTTCTTAGACGACAGAAGGATTTTTGTTGCAAAAATCGCACTGGAAGTTATCATGGCCAACTCAAAGGCAGCGCCCGGGTAAATCTCAGTCACGTTTTCGATGTCCCTGATTCCAAATCCGAACCGAAAGTTGCGTGAAATCCCTGAAACACCCATCTCCGAAACCCTTTTTGAAAAACGTCGACGAGTATTCCAACGCTAATTCGTGTTGCTGTTTTAGCTTAGTTGAGGGGCTTCCGTCGAACTGTGCCAACATTCGAAGAAGGTCAAATTCGCCCGGACGATGCCTTTGAAGGCAGCGTCCGGGCAGTGATTTTGAGATTTTGTGCTTACTCGGGCCTATTCGCTATGCTGAATCCGGAAATGCACACTAGAAAACGGCGAGAAAGGGCTCTAACGCAGGAGGGAAATCAGAAGTGGGAGATGTCTTCCCCCACTGTGCATTCACGGTCCCAGCTCGCGGAACAATCCTCTCGGTTCCGAAAGTCATTCGCACTTAGCTTGGACAAGACGGCCAACCTGATTGAGAAGATCGCTCCAGAAGCCGACCGTGAATTCACGTGGGGAAGACTCCGCCCACTTCTGTTTTTCTTCCTACGTTAGAGCCCTTTTCGCCGTTTTCGCGTTCTCCAGCGTAGATTTTCGGATTCAGCCTAGCGAATAGGCCCAGGTAAGCACAAATACGCGGAATCCCGGACACTGCCTTTAGCTCACGGATTACAGTTCTCCATGATTTTATAGGAGCGGCGCGCTCAAGTTCTTGCATTGAAAAATTCCCATAACTACCCTCACAGAAGTGCTTTGCAAATGCCGAAAGCAGATTTAAGAACAGCGTTCTGCTCTTTAAGATGATACACATTTTATATGGGAACCCAATTCGACTAGGTATCCTCCTTTGTAGCCGCGATTCTTCCAACAAGACAAAGGTTACGAGTCCATTGCATTCCGATTCTTGCATTTCGATTGTGATAGTTAGTCACGACTGGTCGCACTGGAGAACTATCAAAAGAAAAATGCAAGATGATCGGCAGGCAATAGACCTGTAACTGTTTGTTTTGTTGGAAGACGCGGCGTGAACTCTCCCCTAGGCCTAAGGCAACAGAAGCTGATTAAGAACCTAATTCAAGACTCTAACCTTTGTCTATGTCTCGCGGAAGTTCGCCGTGTTGTCATACTAGGATTCGGAGATTCGTCGGCACTGCTTGTTGACGGCTTTACTTCACTAAAAATGGTGATTTCTGTCCCATTCAAAGGCAAAGGAGACAAAGGCGTATGCTCCTGCGTTAACCCAATCTTCATGACCAATTACCCAATTCTTACCCAATTTCTTCATATTTTAGGTTGTTCTCAGCAATTAGACTGTTCTTGCAGTCCTTTAGTTCTGTATCTGCGCCATTTCGACCTATGATGCAAACTTCCTCTCCTACCATCTTGTGAGGCTTGACGATTAATAACTGAAATCTGAAAACAGTCTGTAATTAAAGTTGGCATCAGCATTGAGCACGGTTGGTTTAACGGACTTCGTAAAAAAAACAAGCAGAAAGCGTGGAAACGGTGGGCTACAGAGTAAATTCTATCACCAGTCTTCCTGGGAACAAAAGAAGGTCAAACAGAGCCGACCTTGGCATATTTTGCGCTCCGTTGGACGAAAGATGCGCCGGAAGAGTTCGTCTCGATAGAAAATTTTAATTTCCAGAGAACTAACTTATATCACTTGCCGGAGCATGCTTATTTCTTCTTTCATCATTCTAAGCGGTTTTCTTGTCTTATTTTCCTTAGCAAATTCAAGGAAAAAGACCAGGTGGATCTTCCTCCAAACACGCGGCAACCGTATGCCGCGGACGTGTTTCCGCTCGTTCCGATCATGTCATTTCTGCAATTTTGCGTCGTCCATCCACAGCTGATTTCTTTTTTTCGTTCTTTGGTCTTTTGTCGCGCTTCAAGTTTCATCTTTACTTTGCGCGACTATTGCATTCTCACCAATCGAGTTTTACAATTTTGCTGACCAGACTCAGCTCAGTGAGACATTTTCTCTCAGTTTTGGGCAGTGTTGTCGCTCGTATGGTCCATTTGCTGCAGTATTAGGAGTTCCGCGTTCTATACCGTTGATGTTGTTGTATTGTTGTTACTGCTACTGCCGTCTCGTTTATAAAAGCATGTTATCCCTTGCAGTCCTATTTTCGATAAAACTCCTTGTAATGGCGCATTCGTACAAATTAGGGCGGGTAGATAGCAGACTTGGTACCATGCGGCAAAATTGCACGGATGAGATTACAAGGATGTTGTTAATTCAATAGCAGTAACAGAAGGAGCAAACGCGATATGGCATGGCCGACTTCCTTTGTATACAACACGTCATGATCGAGCGCCTGTCTCTCGCACTTTTGAGCTTATAAAAATCAATTGCAGTAATGGCCTCTGCAGTGAAAGGAAAGATCCTAGCAGTTATTGGAGATGAGGATACGGTAGTTGGTTTCTTACTTGGTGGAGTTGGTGAACTGAATAAAGTGAGTCGTCATTTTTTACGTTTTTGCTTTTTGATTTTGATTTCTGAAATTAAGCTTTGAAATTGTGTCTTTAAAGCTCGCGCCATACTTAATCCGCTTAATCCACTTGATCCATTTGATTCGTTTCGCCATTGGTCAGTTTAGTGAACTGACTGATAGCGAAGCGTTTATCCGCTTGATCCACTTCATCCACTTCCTTCCATATTGGTCGGTTCACTGAATTGATGAATAGTGAAGCGGATTAAGCAAGCGTACCTAAGATGTTGCTATCGTTACGGACTAGAAATTGGCCCATTTTCCGTTCATTTCACGAGACTGACAAGCTTATCTTAGGCTCGTAAGCCGAACTACCTCATTGTTGATAAGGCGACCGGTCTACAGGAGATTGAAGACGCTTTCAAGGGTTTCTGTGCTCGTGATGATATTGCTATAATTCTTATCAATCAGCATATTGCCGAAATGATTCGATATGCGGTAAGTGTTCCATTTGGTTGATGCCTTCTTCTGACTTCTAGATTCAATCATCTTCATCTTGTTGTAAGGAGAAGCGCTATGTTTATCACGAGCACTGTTTTCTTCAAAAATTTGCCCAAGAAACAGCTTCTGGTTGATTGTGCATGTCTATGCATATGTTTAAACACCCTTCGATTTCCAGTTACCAGTGACTCTGCCCTTACTTCTTTGGATAATGTTGTTTCAGTGATTCTATTTTTAGGTCGACCAGCATACAGCTTCTATTCCTGCAGTTTTGGAGATTCCCAGCAAGGAAGCTCCCTATGACCCCAGCAAGGTAAGTGGCTTATCTAGCTCTTTTGCGTCTGTGGTTTTACGTACGCAAAGCTCTTTATCTCATTTTTTTCCAGGATAGTATCCTCAATCGTGCTCGAGGACTTTTCAATCCTGAAGATTTCCGTTAGAACTGTGAATCGTACCCTGCTGTTTTTGAATAGTTTGGAGGAGTTTATATTAATTTTGCATGTGATATTCGAATCATTCCCAGGAAGTTGCTAGGTTGACAGTTCATTAGTAGATACATTCTTCGACGCTGCGAGAGGATCATTATCCGCTGTACCGATGGCCTCATTTGGTGTATATGTTCTTCCAAGCTTCTTTGTCTTGTATGTTCTTGTATGTCGAATTTGTAGCAGTGGATTTTGTGTATTATAAAAAGATGACACCTAATAAATTGTGATAGAAGGCTGAGGTCGCACAGGAAAAGAGAAATGGCTAGTACAAGCAGGTGATGTATCACTACATATGCTGTAATTTTGTCTTTCATTTTAAGGTCCCTCAGATTGCTTTGTTAGGGCACAATGTCATTACGGGTTCTTCTGCCGACATTGCGGAGATGTGTCATGGGTTTTCGACGAGAATTCAGTGTCACGCCTCAGTTGTCCACTATACCATTTGTTATCGAAAACGAGGGTCGTGCAGAACGTGTTTATGATATTTACAGTCGACTGCTTCGTGACAGGATTGTCTGTGTTATGACGCCAGTAAGTGATGCAGGTTTTTTTTGCACATGTTGAAGGGCGGTATCGAGTACTTTTCAACTGAGAAGACGCTAGGATATGGTTTGGCTGAAAGCTTACTCGTTTTCTGAACAGATTAAAAAATGTCTAGGCGAGTTATCGCACGCAGAGATAGGACGCCATGGCCGACGCTTTCGGCGTCTAGCCGATTACCTGGGGTCCTACTGATCATGGATAGTTTTTCCAGTCCAGTATGAAGGCGATCATCGTTCAGCTGTTGTTGTTTTGTGACATATTGCTGGAAGAAAGTGAAAGAAGGGACTCTGGGAGTAGTTGCAGCTTGGGAACTTCAAAAAGGGCATTAAGCATGCAATACCTTATGTATACCTCATAACATCGCAGAAGTACTTGTACAAAGTTGTTTGCTTCTGAGTTTGATCCTGTATTTCTTCATATGTGAGCTGATCTCTACACTAATAGGTTTTAACCATCTTTTCAACCATCCACCATCGAAGGTTAAAGCATGCACACTAATGGTGACGAAGGGCGGTGAAGGTCTGCATCTGGTTGTGAGGTTTTATCACTTCGAGCGGCTGATGACCGTCGTCAGCTTTCAAGATTTTGCTGAAATTTGCTCTCTTCGCAGTGCTGTCTTGTCCTTTCTCAATCTTTCTTTCAGATTGACGATCAGATTGCTTCTGCCATCATTGCGCAATTACTGTTCCTGCAAAGTGACAGTAGCAAGAAACCAATTCATATGTATATAAACAGTCCAGGTGCATCATAAAGTTTCTTTTGGTCCTTTTGCGCCCAAAATTTTCGTTTAGGTGGCAGTGTCACAGCTGGGCTGGCTATCTATGATACTATGCAGATGATCACAGCACCAGTGGCGACGTGGTGTGTAGGGCAGGTTGGTTGCTGAAGTCATATTCTTTAGTTTATCAAGGCCCTGCTCAGGCCTCAAGCATGGGCTCATTACTGCTTTGTGCTGGCGAGAAGGGAATGCGTGCTGCTCTTCCGAATTCGAGAATCATGGTCCATCAGCCCAGTGGAGGCGCCCAGGTTTGCAACTTTACCCACCACATCTATTCATTTTCAGTTCAAATTTTTCTTGAATTGTAAACCTCTCAATCTTTAGGGTTCATGCTCCGATATTCTCATTCGTGCTGAGGAAATTCAAAGGTTGAAAAAGCGCACTCAGGAAATCTACGTCCACCATACTGGACAACCTTATGAGGTAACCGCTTGTTACTAAAAGTGTTGCCTGAGTGTTTCAAAGCGGAGAACTTTTTGTACAAACCAGAAACTACTCACAAAGGGCTGGTTCCGCTTCAAATCAATCTGCTAAAAAATTATTTGGTATCATTGAAATTGTTGATAAAGCTATTTGTTATTGGAATTCCTGCCCCAATTATTATTCTGTTGTGAAGTTGGGAATGATTCGGTGTAGAACACTCAAACCTCATAGTCTATGAAGACTAAAAGTTTTGTTGATTTATGTTTAGCGTGCTTATTTATGAGGGTCCGCTTACACCTCTTCAGGTTATCCCTCACTCACGAATTTGAGTCTAGTAATCGCAAATAGTATAAATAGTATGCTAGTCTTATCTTATTTACTCGTACGCTTATCCTTCAGCAGTATAGTAACTAAGTTTCATAAAATAATCAGTGATTCTAACTAGGTAAGTTCATGGAGAGTTCAGCAATTCTAGTATCTCAGCTATATATAGTCTCCGATATTGAGATCCGCTTTTGTAACATTTTTGATTCTCACCTACCCAATACTTCTCTAGCGTTGCATGCTTCACTCCTCTAGTAGGTTGGTAACGGATCAAAATCGCCACCAAACTTTCACAGTTTCTTAGTCGTTGCTTCTTCTATCTCACTTTCGAAGCAGTCTAACAGTTTTGCGCCTATTTGCCTTCCTTCAGCTAGTTCAGCATCGACTTACGTTGATGGTACGTGCAAGGGCACAACATTGCAAATGCTTTCCATTTCGGCAACGCGTAGCACCATTTCGTATTGACGATCTCATAGGACTCTTACAAGACCATATACAATCTGTTTTGGACGAAACATCCCAGTATAGATAAAGGCTGGTTGCAGACGAAGATTCCTATGTAAGCAGAGGACACTGAATTGTCGAAACGAGAGGCCCTCGTGGACATCTGTTGCAAATGCGCACCTCTGTCCAGCACAACCCGTGTTAGGTGTCTGCGTGGGGGGAGTCTATTGGAGAACTTCTGTCTTCCACTTGTAGACGTAGTATGACTGAAGACGAAAGTATAACTGTCGATCAGAGAGAGTTTATTGCTGTTGCCAACTTGTGAGTTTGAATGAGTGAACGCCCGTGTTTGCGCTGATGGCAGCGCGCTATTCAGGCTCCACCGCCGTCTGCCTTTTTTGCTACGGGGGAACTCTGAAATCGTGTGTAGACGTAAACAACGGTAAGAAAAGGTGCGAAGAGCGTCTTGTGCTTATTCTACGTTGCTGACGCTCATTTGTAGTCAGTTTCTTTTGTCCCTCTAAAAATAATGTTATCGAGGAGAGTGATTCACGATGTTTCCGATTTTGAGGAACGACTGCTGTTAAGGTACCACATCTGTAAATTAGCGGCTTTACTAGAGTGATATGAATAAAAAACTTCTTTCTGTATCAGTCAGTGATTTTCCATTACAAGCATTCATATGCATCACGAGTGACGCACTGGGTCATTTGGGTAAATAAATGGCTGATATGATTTGCTCTGCACTATACCGAACTTGATAAGACTCATTGATTCTGAATGTTACAAATCGGTACGACCCATTTTGAGTGATAAGCAAATGCCTCTTTGTTAGAGATCACGTACGAAAGGGAGGTGGCATCTTGAAATATCTGCTGAAGAAAGAAATCCTTTTCATCCTGATAAAAATGCAAGTTTTTGATCACGTCGTCTGGCGCCTGCATCAAAAACGATGAGTGATGGTTTGATCGTATTAACTTCATTACATAAAAACGTTCTTATCAGACCGTTTCCTCAAAATATAACTCCTACAATATTTAGTGCGAAGAAGAGTCTCCATAAAAGAACTCGTATCTTTTGCACAAGTACAAGTGATGAGCCTCTTTCTTGCATTGTTATAGGCAAAGATAGGCACTATCTGTCGCTCTTAGAAGTAAATATTCAGTCGTATACATCGCATTTTTTGCTGGGATTTAGTAAGAAACTAGAAGCCTATCAAAAGTTTCGCATTCCATAAACTCCACTAAAAATCACCGTCTGTGGTATCTAACATCCTAAATTGAAGCCAACAAACAGTTGTACTAGGCGACACTCTGTTGTAAATCAGTCACCTTTCCAGCAAAGTTTTCGTTATATTATAGTAAGCGATTCAGCATTAATCAGCAACCTCAATAAGTTGCTCCTTTCCAAAAACTTTCCTGATTTCTTGGTGACACTCATCATAGATTCAACTCTACTGTATTTACCACCTCTTCACCACCGTTTCTGCTTTTCGGGAGTGCGCAGCGTTCCAGAGAGGAAAGCTTTTTGAAACCTTTTTTGGGTGCCAGAAAGGCCATAATGTTTGGTTTTTAATTCATTCAGAAGATGGCACGATTTTTGGAGCTTCCTTAGGGAAAACAGCCGGTCAATTGTGGGTTAGACCTTTCTGTAGGACGTGGTTGCAAGCTCAGCAGAAAAAAAAACGCATTCATATCGTTTCGGGACTGGTAAAAAGTTTCTTGAAGAACGAGTTTTTTGTTGTTGTGTTAGTCAGACAAATGCTTACGAATTTTACAATATAAACTCATTATAGGTTATTCAAGAAACGCTGGACCGTGATCGTTTCATGAGTGCATTGGAAGCGAAGAACTTTGGACTTGTTGATAAGGTGGAATCTCATGGAGGATCGATGCCTTCAGAATAGCTTTTGTTTACTGTTATTATCATTCCATAATATGTGTTCGCAAATTTGTAGGTGCAATTACGGTTTTCTTGTATTGTTATTGGATCAGGCAATGAATATCATTATTTTTTTACTTGAAATTGGCTTCGAAGGGTAGGTGGGGCTTATCAAGAAGACCATCTCGTCGTTGATTTCCTTCTATTAAAATGAGCTCTTACGTAAAATTCTAAGCCTTTGAAAAAAACCATTACTACGATTATGGCGATTGAGCCCACGTGTTGACATGTAGCAATTAATTTCTTGACAATATTGGCTTGGGAGAGACGAAAGTACAAGCGACGTCGACATTTGCATAGCACTTGCCTTACGTAGAGAAAGGAAAGGTGGGAAAGCGACCTATCTATGCAAAACAGATGCACTATACGGAAAGTTCGTCCTCTGTTTTTGCTTGGATGCTGTGTAATTTTTTAGGCAGTGATCAATTTTCGCTCATCTCTATTCGTCGTAGGAGGCTTGCATAGATTTTCAAAGCAGAAGAACGTTTAATAGTGGTTCTAATTCAAACAGATCACAATTTTTCGTTTTTTGCGTTTCTGATATTGTCTATTCTGCCTTTGTTCCAAACTTTCAGTATTATGGAAAGCAAATCTTGAAAACTTAGTATGGACCACGCGCAACTGGAAAATTTGCAAATTTTCACATCGCATATGTGTTGGTCATTAGTGTATGAAAAAAGAGTTTAACGGGTTTCCCCACAATTATCTTTTCGACAGACGGTCTTTTGCTTCCGAATGTATTAGATCTACCAGATATTAGGATGGTGCAAGAATAATGGCCGATTTCCCAAGCCTTTGTTCAGGGCAACTTTTTTCATCAACCTTTCTTCTTTACAATAGATGTAGTGTACAGAAGCTGTTTTCATGCTCTGTCTAATGGTGTTTGAAACGGGCTTTCAACCTCATCTGTTATCAAGTTACTGAGCTTTAAATAACCGCGTCAAAACTCAGAATTTCATTGCATTCACTTTTTTGGCCAGAATTCAAGCGAGTATCAATGGCACTTCTTCGAAAATTTAGCTTTTGTATGTAATAGAAGTTGTCTACATCATGCATACTTGACTGTGTTCTTTGAAGTTATCCAGAGTGAGATATCGGTGCCTAAACATGGGTAGCTGTTGCGGGCATTTTATGACCCATAATTTTCTTCTGAAGAAGTCAATCGCTGAAGCTTTGCTCAATTCTGTAAGCGTAGGGCTAGGACATCTATTAGCAGTTATTGCAAAAACATCCAGCTGTTCATAAGTCGGAAATCAGAAAATTCTTTACTCGGGACTTTGAGGCACAGTGAACAAATGTTGAAAAAACAGAGATTTTAAATTTTAATTTTTTTCTTTCTCTCAAACTTTTTTGTCCGAATTCTTTCTATTGTGTTTTGTACTATTGACTTGCGGCTACAAGATAGGCCACTTATCATTCATATACTAACAAAGTTTGAAGGAAGTTATGAATTGTCAAAAACAAGGTTTCAGCACAAGAACCCTTTTTGTTTTTCAATCCATACTGCCCGTTCGTGATATAAGTAAATGTGCGCTTTATTGCAGAAAGTTTGCTGCTTGTGAAGATCGTTATCACATTCTGAAATGTGAATCTTTCAAAAAGTTATAGCACGTCAAAGTGAGAATTCGCAAAACGGTCATTATTTTTGCTTCAACCTAATACTTTCTTAAGTATACTGCTCCTTAGATATTGTTTTCTGCAACTAAATAATTGGTTTGTCAGCAATGACATTTGCCAATTTCACAAAGGCACACATTGAAGAATTATTGTGAAAAAGTGTCCTTATTGACAGATTCTTGAGTGATTTCGGAAGGTCATGATTATGAATCATAGCATTTGATCATTCATGGCTCCGCAATATTTCTAGCACGCATCGATTCGGAATCGTAAAGTTTCAAGCAAACTTTGCGTTTTCTCGTATTTTGTATTACTTATGAGTTTGTGGTAGATCAAAGCAATTGCACTATGCTTCATAGTTTTCTATTTATTCTATCAAAATATGCTTTGAATAGAATAATTATCAAGCTATAGATATGAGTTTTGAAGCAAGTTATACATTAAAAAACCGCAAGATTTATCATGCTAGGTTATAAAAATCGAAGAATTGTAGTTCACTTAATGACTAAGAGACTTCTTTCCTATCAAAAGGTTAACTGACGCCAACAGCAAAGTGCCCACAGGATATTTCCTACCAAAATCTGAATCGACGGGAGTGGCTTTTGAATATTTTAGCAAAGTAGATTGAATACGGGTGTATTTCGGCGACCATAGAAATGTGTTCGTTTCAGTTTCATTCTCATTTTGGGATATGCACATCAAACTAGCTGTGAACGCATGAACAGCCATAGTTAAACGACTGTGAAAGAGAGATAACTCCAAAAACGCTGCCAAATCTGATCGATACACACATTGCATTCAATTTATGAACAGATAGTTGGATCGGGTAGCATGATTAAATCGAAGCCGTGTTGCAACACTTTGCTGTACTCTACCGATGGCAAAGCATTTGAATCGAAGGAGCCGGTTGGCACACACCTTCTGACCGTACTGATAAAAGTGTACCCAAAGCAGAAGTGGAAAAACGAGTGCTTTTAGTGATAACGCCTGCCATTAGAGTATTTTACTTCTTCGCGAGAGGTGAATTCATGTCTGCTCTGCTATGCGACAAAATTCTATTTCGAATTTCTGTCATTGTTATCTATGTGCACTATTTCTATAGGCTATATCACTCTTTTCCATAATTGGTTCAGAGCTCGAATCCACCGACACAACTTTCTTTCACACTATCAGTCTAGAATTTCCTCGCAAATGTAGCATTATTGGCTATCTACGTGGCCTAGACCTCTATGTGTGCGGTGTGTGTGCTTCTCAAGATAGGCTTCTATATTGACACTATCGTTCAGATAAGATACAGGGCTGAATAAAACCCGTGGGGCCGTCCAATTCTAGCACTTGATAGATTAACTGCACTTGCTTACGCTACTTCTTCCCGTCACCTCCACCACACCCCTGCTAAAAAGGGTAAGCCGTAGATCCTGAACTGGAAACTGTCATAAAATCCTTCTTGAGCGATATTATGCACATTTTCTGGTTCATGAAAAGGCATCGCCCAATTCATTGCTATGAGTCATCATTTATGCTTCATCATATGACTGATTTATGATGGAAAATCAATTTAGGTTTTTTGTAAGGCTTGCTATACAGCATTGCAGTACACTGATTACGTGAGTAATTGTTTTTTCTAATTATAGCCCTATTATTATACATTTAATGTTCACAGGTACTTCCTTATATGTCTCGAATATAGAAAAAGAATCTAAAAGAAGTACGTCCTAGATCTTAATTTCTTACTCATTTTTGCGAAGAAATCACTCATCCGCAATGCAAAGCTTTGCGAGGGACTCAATCATTGAGGCTTATTCAAATGCACATGTCTTACGCGAGCGAACGTGGCGCGAATTTTTAGCGTGGCGAATGCAAAAAATAGAAAAGGGAATACGCGAGTGACACAGACTCTAGGTGGTTTCCAAAACGAAGAATGGTACAATAACTTTTTTGGCTGAATCTGTGTTTGTGAAGAATTTCTAGCCAAATTTTCTTTCCTTCCTCGAATTTAGTAAGTCCCAAAGGTCCTCATTTGCTCTCATGAAACATCTCAATAACCTCATTATCTATTTATTTATTTTTTATTTTTTTATGTATTACACATAGGAATGTAACGCAATAAATGAGCAAATACATGAACCATCTAGGCATGTATCGTTCCTTCGCTGGATTAACAGGTAGTAACAGTTTTATGTTGGCAACTTCCTAGTAAATCAATTTTCGACAGGTCTTTTGACTCAGCTAAGAAATGAACTATTTACCAAGAAATATTTGTAGTTACCACAGTCACCGAGTTATCTGATCAAAGCCAAGCTGTATCAGTCTGCGTGAATTTTTACGGTCGTCATACTTGCACTAGCACTACGATGCCGGACGAAAGCAAACAGAATGCCATCGACACACTTTGATAACGTGGACACCGACGGCGATAACGTCGTCGGCTGACGATCCGTCCGCAAATCGAATGGATCGATTGGGCAACAGATAATTTTAGATGCTAAGATAAGAAAGCAACGGTACAGCAACATAGGTCTAAGATAGACCTATGTTGCTGTACCGATTAGAAATCCTACATAGACGATAACTCGTAAAATTTCTCAAATCATCCCCTGTAGCTCCTAAATCACGTCAGGGATAGCCTTATGTTAGGTTTTTTGATGAGTCTTGCTTCATAAAACAAAAACATGAAATTATTTCAAAAAACTCGATTTCTTTTGCATGCTTTTTGTGACACAACAAAGATATTGGAGATTTTATCGAACAAAGTCGAAATGTCTACTAACTTGTAGACCTATCCAATCAGCAGGACTTTTTTCATTTCAAAGGAGTAGGTTGTGGAAGCAATGCTCAAAATAAGTTGAATGGGCTTTTCAGCATTCTTGAGACTAGATTTTGAACAAGTATATTTTGACTGTTTCTATTGAACAGCTTCTACCAGTGTGATACACTAATATGGGTTATGTTCAAGACAATTTCAGAAATTGCAGTACGTTCACTTTCTGGCAATGAGATATATTAATTGAGAATTTTATTAATTAGAAAGAATGACGATTTTTCGAAAAATTTGGGATTGCGGAACCCAATAGTTAGATCTTATTTGCTTTGAGGGAAATCAAAGATAACTAAATATTATAAGAAACTTTAGAATCGGAAATTCTGCCATATCAAAAAATTCGAAGGTGTGGTTAAACAATTATATCATTTACATTTCCAAATACTCTCTGATACCGCTCCAAAGATGACACATCTTTAGGCCCCGGACAAACATTTCCATTCACTTTATTTCACATTCAAAAATTTCGGGCTGGAAAAGTATCACAACCGAAATGCAAGTTGATCGGCATGGAATGATGTTGTAACAGTTGTCTCGTCGCGATTCAGTCGCGACGATCAAATCGCGTGAAGTCTGTCCGGGGCCTTAGAGGGATGCACCCAAGGTCACCGGGTCCTTTCATGTGAAAATGGGAATTACCC